ATTTGCTTTTGTTTGTATGAATTCTTATAATCTAGAACTTTACTAACATTGGGTTTTTTTATTCAGAATTTTAAACTCAAATTACCTTATTATAGGTAAATTAAAATTTCTTATTTCTTGAATTTGAATGAATTTCTCACAATTTCGTATTGAAATAATATTTAATTTTTGGATGGTTTATTTTCATCAAATAGTATATGTGTGTACACATATTGTTGTGGCTCTTCATTGATTTTATAGCTGAAATTTCTTTATTTTTTATAATTTGATTAATAGATCCAGAATTTTTTTTTTAGTTTTTGCGGAACTATAATCAATAGGTATTCTATCGATTATATTAAGGATAAAGATATGTGCACACCCGGGTGTGCACCAATCAGGGTCCTTATATTAATTATTTTCTATGTTCAACAATGATTTAAAAATGTTATATACAATCAACAGTCAATTGCTATTGATTATAATATATATATTTTTTTATAAAGATCATTTGCTAGGAACCAATTTAATCAATAGATATGTTGCAGTTAATGGTAGTATAATCAACAAAAAAAATTTGACTATCGAATATAGTTATATTCAATTTACATTTATTTGCTTATTATAAAGATCATTTGCTAGGAACCAATTTAATCAATAGATATGTTGCAGTTAATGGTAGCATAATCAACAAAAAAAATTTTGACTATCGAATATAGTTATATTCAATTTACATTTATTTGCTAGATAAATATAAGTGACAAAAAGTAAAGTATAATCAATAAATTTAGCTATTGGTTATATGATGTTCTCTAATAGTGCGAGAAGAACAAATTTTCTTTAGACTATAAATTAAAACTCAAATAAGGTCGACGTACTCTTAAAGTTTGCCAACGTACTCTTAATGTGAAGGTTAAAGTGAGGCAGTGTTTTTTGAGGTGAACAATGAGCATTTGTATCTGTAAGAAATTTGTAAATTGATTTAAGTAGCTCGTAGCTTGAATAAAATTGATTGGCTAATAAAAAATACTTTGAAAGTTTGCCATTGTATACATTCTTGTTCACCCTTGGAAGAGGATAGCATAAAAATCTTACTAATTCAATTTTTGCATCACAAGAACTAAACTCTCTAAGTCAACAAATCATCCAAACATGGCTGACAATCCCTAGTTAGTTCTTCAATCAAAGCTATAACATCTCCAATATCAACATTATGATCAACCAAAATTGGTTTATGCTTAATAGAAAAAATAAAGCAAAGGAAAATATAAAGATATATGAAGAAAGAAATTCTTTCTTTCTTAATTTTATTGAATATACAAGGTGATTATTTGTAAGTCTGTATAAGAGAATATTCTATAGTACAAAATTAATTAACCTAATTATATTAATCAATTATAATGTGAACTCAATCAATATAGTTATAATATGAGTATTCTATAATATCCCCCTTCAAACTCAAGGTAGTGATAAGGAGATCAGCTTGAGTTTAGAAAGGAAAGTGCGGAAGCATCCAAGAAAGTGAGTTTTTTTGATGAAAAGATCTGCATACTGAATATGCAAATTGGTGCAGTCAATGCCGCTGGAGGAGAAGGAGGCAATATCAGATCTTGGCAACAGTAATGTCGAATGTTCAATTGCGAGAAATCAAGAGCAAAATCAGTGACAAGAAATCAAGAGCAAAATCAGCAGCAATTGGATGCGAGAAGGCTGGAGCAACACTAATTGTGGGAGTAACACGTATCACCGGCGCAACAAAGGAACAGGATAAAGAAAACCCAATTGCAAATAAGCTCAAGAAATAAAGCGAAGATGATGATGATCAGCACCACCTACAAGCAAAGCAGAAACTTAGAAAGGAGATGAACAATAACAATAATAATAATAATAATAAAAACCTCAAGGCTTTGATACCATGATAGAAATAATAAAGAGAAGAAAAATATAAAGATATATGAAGAAAGAAAGAAGAAGAAAGAAACTCTTTCTTTCTTCATTTTACTGAATATACAAGGTGTTTATTTATAGGTCTGTACAAAAAAATATTATATGGTACAAAATTAATTAATCTAATTATATCAATCAATTATAATGTGAACCTAATCAATATAATTATAATATGAATATTTTGTAATAATGCCATAATGAGATCATCTGCTTAATAGACTAAGACGTTTTGATTGGAGCAAATTCCTCAAAAACATGATGAGTTACATTCTCAAATCTCATACAAGTACCACCTTGGACTAAATATGTCTCAATTGATCAATAGGGTTCAAGTAAGAAATTTCTTAGTTTCCATTGCGTATAAGTAAAACAATTTTAAAAAATATGTAAAAGTTAGAAACTCTTTGAAAGATAGTATCAAGAACAAGACACGTAAACAACTATTCTCTTTAAATTGCTCAAGATATTAATGAAAAAAAAGGGGCCATAAAGCCCTTTCGTTTAAACACATTACCAGAGGTTGGCTTTCTTTTTTTCCTTTTGTGGTCGAATCAATTTTTTTTCCCTTTGTGATCCATTTGAAGCAAGTTCTTTGAAATAAGTTTAGTTTTCAACAATTGGATGTGTAGGTTTGTTTAAAGCTAATCAATCGTTGTCTTGGGGTTTCTTTATCGAATTTGGTTGCTGAATATTTAGGTTTCATGGTTATTGTAAGTGCTTATCTTGCTTTTGGTTTTGTGAGACAATGGATTAATGCAATGTTGATTAGCAAAAGAACCATGATTGGTGCACACCCGGATCCCACACCCAGATGTGCACCCCCCACATAAAAAAAAAAAAAGAATGGACCAGGTGTTGGATCATTTTTTTTTTATGCGAAGTGTGCACATCCAGGTGTGGGATCTGAGTATACGCACATCATTTTCCTTAGCAAAAAGATAGGATTTATTATAAAATAAGTGATAATTGAGTTGGAGAGAAATAAAAATATATAAAAAAATTAGGTAAGATAATTAAAAGACAAGAGGAGAAAGTATGGCAAATAGTAATATTTTCTATTCTTCCATTTCACTATATTTTCTCCATACAATACAAGCTTATATGAAAAGCTAAGAAAGAATGAGAGTTACAGAAATTTAATGAACAAACTAAATTGAATATTAATGAACTAAATGAAACGTTGAACAAAGCTTATTAGTGGTTTCAGGAATATGGTGGTTTCATAAATTAGTAGTTTAATGAATAAAGTTTAGATCCATGATGAATAAGACTTAGTAATTCAATGAATAAAGTTTAAAGAGTAGAAAGATAAAAGTGAAATATTCATTCATTTGTATAATTCATAATAGGATTTTTATTAATTTTTTTATTTACTTTTACAATCTTTTCTTGCAATTTCTTCCTATATTCACATTTTTGTTTTTACGCAAAGGAATTTTAAGTTTAAGTTTATAAAAATTATCAACTCATTCTTTTAATATGTACCCACACCTCGTAGAGTGGGGTCAAGCAAGCTAGTTTGAGAGGGAAAAATGTGGAAATTGTAAAGGGAAAGTGTGACTTACTAAGATTTCGTTTGACAACTTTTTTTGGTGTTTTAATTTTTAATTTTTACGTTTTTTATAATTTTAAAAATATATAAAATATTAATCAAAATAAATATTAAATATTAAATATATAAAATATATTTTATATATTTTAAGATGTTAAAGAATAAAAAAATATATAATTACAGTTGAAAGTAACGTTATCAAACTAAGCTTACAGATTATGTGCTGGATTGGTTAGAAAAAATGAAGGGAAAAACGGGCATACTTAATTTTAGCCGGAAATGTGAATAGAACTGTAGAAGTGTAAAATATATATATATATATGATTAGTGTTTATTCACCTTATTTCCTAAAAATTAAAAGGAAAATGATTTCAAAATTACATAGTTTTAATAAAGTACTGCAAGAAAAAATAAAAAACATTTTAATTCATGTTTTAAAATAAAGTATTTTAGTCTTTTTCAATAAGAATTTATTGAAACAATGTAATTTTGAAATGATTTTTCTCTCAATTTTTAAGAGATAAAGACGGATAAACACTATTTCCTATAATGATCTGTTTTCAATTAGTATTGGGCCTGTGGTTATTGGTTTCTTGGGCTTGGAAACCGTTAACTACCCAATGGGCCTTGGTATTACCAGCAACCCAACCAATACCACCGTTAACTGTTTGGTCCCACAATAATTGGGCTTTAACCGATTGATTCCGGTTAACTGATCGGTGTGTGCCTAAAAGTCGAAAAAGTCTACTATATCACGGTTATACCACGTAGGATATATCCCAAACCAATTATAAGTTGACACATAATCAAGTTGTCGGCCACAAAACATTCAACGTAACTGCCTCCCTCGTCCCTCTTCTGCCATTTGCTTGCCTTCTTCCCTCTCCTTTTATTGTTCCACTTCCACCCAGATACTTGCAGGCCAACTTAATTTCTTTTTTCCAAGCCTAATACATCAAATTAGTTTCTAAATCTATCTGCTCACTCCATCAATTTCTCTCTAAATCTTCATTCTAGGCGAGAAGAAGATGCATAAAACTTAGGTAATTAAATTGGTATTGATGGTTTGGGATCATCAAGAAGTGGAAATCATTTTTATGCTAACTTTATTTTTTTGGTAATGTTCAATGCTAATCCTTCGAAATTCTAGCATCTTCTAAATCCATTTTTTTTTCAAGGGGACTCAAGGCGAAAATCCCAGCATCTTCATGTTAAAATCCCAAGTTTCCTTCTCCTCACTTGAATTGAAACTTCAATAAAGTTTCTGTCTTTCTCTTTTCTGGAGCATCAATAAAGTTTTTGTAAGTGGGGAATTTTATTTTCTTGGCTTTGGATTATCGGGAAGAATGAAAAAAGAGAAACACCAAGGAAGAAGAGGGGCAAACAGCAAAAGATCCCTTTGGATTTGAGTTTACTAATTTGAGAGTTGATTCAAAAAGGCACAATTGATGAATAGAAAATAATTAAAAATGATTTCTTTTCTTTCTATTTGATATTATGGATGAGAAATTATGCAGAGGAGAAGGGAGATTTGGGAAAGACAAAAAACTGAGGAGCTAAGGAGATGAAAGAGTATACTGTATTGAGCATTTAACAGAGACTTTCTCTGTTAAGTGAAATCCAACTAACTGTATTTGTGAGATGAGATGTACTAATTTAATTATCTATCACTTTCTTATTGGATGGAGATACCACATCAGCTCGTATCCCCGTTGTATAGTAGAATTTCTTTTAAAAATCCCACCCCTAATCGGTACACCTTAACCCCACCATTAAGTTAACAATTTTTCGGAGAAAGTTTACTGAACTTTAAAATATTAAATTAAATTGTTAATAATGATTAATTTTTATATTTATATATCATTTATACTTTTATCTTGGCATAAAATTTTGGACATTGTAAGCTCTTCAATTAAAACCTCAAGTGATGTAAAATTTTTATTAATACTGATTATAATGATTGATATGAATCTATATTTATAAAAAGTGACAGCTCTAATATCAATTAAAAA